CAGCATATTTGAAATTACATCATTTTTAAGTGTTCCACATGTTCAGATTAGTTATCCATCTTTTAAGGAAACAACAGACTGGAATGTGTCTTCACTTTTGGTATAGGAAATACATACTGGTAATTCTATAAACCTGTCAGTAAATTAATGCTAAGCTATACAACCTTTAAGCAGTTTTGGCTTATGTCTGTGTTGGAAATATGCGATTGCAATGAAAAGCATAACAAAGCAGCCTGCCAGATGTTGTAACTGAATGGTACATCACATCTCATTTCCAACATTGGCGGTGGTAATACTAGAGACTTAAGATTTCAAAATTAACAAGATCTATTTTAACTTCCTTTTTCATTACTTTAAAAGATGTTTCACAGACAAAGCAATCATATGGTAGAATTTTACTTTCTTGTTTTTATAAAGAATGTAAACCATAAATAAAAATCTACGAAACCCATGTTGTGTTTTTTTAAATTTAGTACGTGATGTGATCTGTTTGACAGTGTGGCTGGGAATGAAATTTTCAGGTTAAGTACGTATTCTGTAATATTATAGTATAACTGTTTTAATATATAAGCACTAACATACATAAATACGTAATATATAAGTACTAACAATACAATATCTATGCCAAACATGATTTGTACATATAGGATAGCAGAAAGTCTTGTCAAAGCTTCTTACTTAAGAATTTACATGTTTATTTAAAAAGCAGAGTTAGAGAGAGAGAGAGAGAGAAAGACAGATATGTAGAGAAGTAGGTAACTGGTAGGTATATCTTTCATCCTCTGGTTTACTCTCCACATGATCACAACAGTTAGGGCTGGGGCAGGCACTTGGAACTCCATCTGGAGGATCTCCCATGCAGGTAGGTGGTCAGGGCCTAAGTGCTGTCCTCCACTGTTTATCCAGACCCATTGGCAAGGAATTCATAAGAGGAGCAGGGGGGACTCAAATTATCATGTATGTAAGATGCTGGAGTCTCAGGCAGCAGCTTAATTCACTATGTCACAATGCTGGCCCCTATTTAAAATTTCTTTCATAATTGGTTTGACTGTACATTATTTTCCTTCAAGAGAGTTCTAGCTAACATTTCAGACAACAGATTCATTATACTAGTACTTCTATCATTACTCAGGGGGCACAGGGAAAGGCAGCAGTGGCCCTGGACCAAAAGAAAATGATGAATCCTGGCACTACTCATTCCTGGGAATGCCTCCCCCAACTCAAAACTAATCTCAGAGATTCTCATAGAGAATGCAAACACCACTGTGATGTGTGTGTGTGTGTGTGCATGTGTGTGTGTGTGTGTACAGGAGTGCATATGCGATGTAATGGTATAAGTTATATCTCTGTTAGCATTTGCAACATTTCCAAAGGATTAATAAGGAATTGCATAGGATAGAAAAGCGTGAAGGAAAATATGTATTTGTTAGAGATAAAATTGCTTTTAACAACTTTCATATCCATTATGACAAGTTGCTGTTAGCAACTATGAAAACAATGTTTTATACTCATTTATTGGTCTGGTTTCTTATATGTGTTGCGTGTAGTGAACCTGAGTGAATTCCAAGTGGACAGATCTAATGCATTAGCATAACTTATTTTACCAAAGCTGTTTCCCTTTGCGGAAATTTTAAGAAAAAATTACGCAAAGTCACAAATAAACACAAAGTCTGTTTGGAAAGCAAAACAAATACAATGACTGCTTTTTGGAGTTGTTAACAGCACAATTTTTGTCATTTAAGCTTATTTTAGTTTAGATCTTGTGAATGTAGGAGGTATGAAATAATCTTCAGACAGCTTAAAAAAAGTAAAAAAAAAAAAATTTGCCTGAAGCCCTATAGTAAAGAGTAGTTACAATTATAAATGGACTTTATTTGATTGCATTATGAAATTCTTTTTCTTTTACAATTATGGTGCACTCTCCATTAACAATAAAAAACTAACTTTAAAACTAAAATTTTATTTCTTTCTATTCATACCACTGAGAAATAAAAGTTTGCTTAAGAACTGATCAAGAGATATGTCACATTTTTCTTTAATAGGCTGTGTTAACTCATGACCATGTACTGAGCATACAGAGGTATTGGTGGGATTAAGGCTATAATTATGCTTGTGTAATAGCAAATTTTGTCAGAACTGATGATAACGTCTATTTCATCATTACAAGCAATTTTGGTCAAAAGAGGAAAAGGAGTAAATTTACTACAGTCTCTAAATAAATAACTGGGCTTTAGTTACCGATGTGACTAATTCCCTTTGGAAATAACCGGTGAGGTAGTTGGAAAACAAAGCAGTACAAGAGCTTTGCTTGTAAGAAATGTACCTGTGGCCTTTACCATGAAACCAAGAAACAAAGGAAGTTACTCCATCTGTAAGAGATGCCAATTTCTATCATCTGATGACCAAGCAGAGTGAGTCAAATGTGTCCTTCTAGAAGTTTATTGCTTCTAAAACGAATTCTTCCACAAAATACATGGATTGTCCATAAGTAGAAGAATTAATAGACTTTATGTGCAAAATCATTAAGTTGTAAAAACAAAACAAAGGCACCACAGGCCTTTTTAAATCAGACTATTTTAGAGGCTTCATGTGAACACACCCCTACTCCAGATTGCTTATTTACAAAGCACAAATATGTTAGGTGCAGAAAAGAGAAGAATTAGAAGGCATAGCAAATGATCTCAAACATTTTTTGCTTCACCCCCTTTTTTAAGGTATCAGCCAAATAGTATCATCTCCCAAGTAACTCCAAAGCTGCAGAAATGTTAGTAAATACGCTCATCTCTTGCTTACTTTACCAAATACGCATTTAAATTTTTATTCACAAATGTTTCGGAGTGTTTGGACCATGTTTCTTCTGGTCTGATTAGTCATGTACGTGTTGAAAATGATGCTGTCTTTGATGAGAAAACATGTTTTATCCAATCTAAACAGATCAACACAGTGGACATTTTGTCCACAGGCTAAATAATATGTTTTGGGAAAGAATTTGGAGTTTAACAATGTAAACAAACATGCACATTAGAAACCAAATCGCAATAGCTGTTTCTTTGTAGGGAGAGGGATTCCCACTCAGACGGTCACACCAAAGAATGTTTACTAAACATGCCAACTAAAGCCTTGGAAGCTCTATGTTTAACGTTAATGGTCAATAATATACAAAACATATATTGTGCTCTGAAAGCCTGACAAGCATATTGATTGGAGTCTTTATTTAGCAACATTTTCAAGTTAAGCTTGGCAGCAAAGATTTGTGAGTGTTACTGCAAGCATCCTATTTGTTGTTACAGCAGTGCAGAAGCAAAAAACATTAAGTTGGGTGCATATGCAGAGTTTGGTGTTCTGTCTCTTTTCTCAATATGAAATTTAGCCCCCAGACATTGTCTAGACAATTCGAATTTTCATAACAACTCTTGTGAAATATTCATAAAATTGAATTAAAATTGGTTTGGTGGTGCATAAATTTACCAGACTGTTTCCATTTTAGATTTACAATAACAGGTTTTTGAAGCAAGAAAAAAATATGTGTTCAAAGTTTTTATAAATGTCCCTATGTAATCAATGAACGTGCAGTTTTCTGAGAAGCTACTCTGATAAAACCCTTCCTGTGAAGAAACTGTTTCCAGCTAGTTACTAAATAATGTTAAAAAAATTAAGTGTACTCCTTTGATGAAACTGAAACATTAAACTTTAACAATAATCTTGTTAAATTTTCAGCCCTGTTTAAGTCCTTTTTTGCTACTAACGTTTCCAACTACTGTAGCTTTTACATGAATTGTGCAGGATTTTATGATATACATTTAAAATATCCTTCAGTCCCTAAGTATTGCCAGTTAAATGTGATATGTTTCAATCGATGATTTTCAAAACAGGATGGGAAGCACTTTTGGAATTCTGGAAGTGCTGATTCAGAATTCTAACAAAACTTAGGGGAAGATTACCATCTTTTACTTTAAAAACAAAAGAAACAGTAAAGAATAATCCAAAAGATTTTCTCCAAGACCTGGAAATTAAATAGTAGGTAATACTAAACCATGAATGCAACAACAAATGTATCTGTTTCCAGTTGCCATTAACGACACAGAAGCCACATCCCTTTCGTATTTACACATTACACTCCAGGGTGATGGTACCACATGTGTTGACTGCAGTTGATCATCTTGGGAATGTAAAGAAAGCCCAAACACCACACCACAGCGTTTAGAGCTCATTTCATATTTTACAGAAAGCCGAGCTCATGCTTGGTTTTTCTCCCAAAGCATAACCCTGCCTTTGTAAGGAAGGAGCAGCGATGTGAATGAGACCTGGAGCCAAGGTTAAAGAAATCTTGCCCAAGAGGTGAGTGTTTGCATGGGAAAGAAGCAGCAGCTCAGCTCAGAAGGGCATTGATAACACCCGGGAGGAAGCACCTCCCCTGAAAAACACTGGAACCCCTGGGACCTGTGTTTGAAAACCGTTCCTCCAACTCATCCTGTGACTATTAAGGCAAGCTAGCAAGTCCCATTCTCAGAGGGGGGAAGTGTAGCAAAAACTGTTAAAAAAAAAAAAAAAAAACAAGAACACGGCTCAAAATATCAGGAAAAGGCAAAGTGTTCTGTCAAAAAGACCTTTGCAAATAGGTAGAGGCAAAGCTCCGTCTCTCCAGTATTGTTTGCCCTTCAGCTGACATACATGCCCAGATGCATCAATAGGATTACGAAGAAACACACTCGACTGGGGGTTTCCTCTGCTGGGGCTCTCTGAGCATCTTTAAAGAAACAGGAGCAAGGAAGGCAGACACACCAAACTTCCCCAGTGCAAGTTCCCAGGACTGCCTCCCTCTCCTCCATCTCACCCTGCAAAGCCCGGCTAGTGTCACCAACAACAGTGGACAGAAATGCCATGGTCTTTGTGCACCACCTCACTTGTTGAGTTGTTGAAGGCAGCGCTTGACCGCTGTAACTTGCTGGCCCGCCTGGCTTTGAAGTTTGCCCCCTCCCCGCTCCCGGGCCATATCTTACCTGCATGTGTCCCTGGTACATTCTGCTTGGACTTGTTCAGCGCTCCCCGAGGCCGCCGGATGCTTCACCGGTGCTCAGCAGCGCACCCACAGAAGGAGAGGGCGGCGTGCCCGGCGGGTTTTCAGGGGGCCCGAGCCCCCGGGTGGCGGCAGGTGAGGGCGGCGGCGCCGGGCAGCGCTGCGGGCTGCTGGGAACTGTTCTCCGCTCCGGTGCTGAAAGCGGACACGCGGAGCGCGCGGTGGAGGAGGCTAGGAGCCCGGGCGGCCACGCTCTCTGCAGGCGCAGGTCCTGCTAGCCGAGCGCCTCTAAAACTCACTCCTCCTCGACCCAACTCCTCCTCGCTCCCTGCTAGGCTGCCTCATGTCTCTCTCCCCCTCTCGCTGTGAACCCCCTCCTCCTCCCGGCCCTGACGTGAGCACCCACACCAGCCGCCGCAGCCGCCGAGCGGAGTGCGCGCCGCCCAGCCCGCCGCGTCCCAGCCCCGAGGCCGCGCGGTCGGGCGCGCGCGCGCGCTCACGGTGGGCCCGAGGGCGGCCCTGGGTGGCGCGCACCCCCACCCCAACTCCACCCGGAGCGTGCCCGGCGATGCGCGCTCCCCGGATCCGACAGAGTCAGCGGACGATGGTCGTGCGGGTGGGGAAGGCTTGGCACGCGGCGTCCAAGTGCTGCGGTGCCACTTACGGGAACCCTCAGTGGGAAGAAAAGTCGGAGAGGCAAGGCATGGTCTGTAAGAGCCGTTCACATCTACAGGAGGCCGGCATTCCTCACGCACCCCTTGCACCGCGTTGGGGGTGAGGGAGGAGTCCAAAGAGTTTACTTCGGTTCTGATCCAGATCTCAAGTTACTTCTGTGTCTCTGTATTCAATAATGGCTTTGCCCACCCCACCTCTGTTCGTAACTGAGCCTTGTATTCAGAATTGCCACCCTCAGTGCCAAACGTTCTAACATGCTTTGTTTATGCCTTTAGCACTCATCGGCTAACATCCTGCACATTTTCTGTCTTTACTCTCTTTTTCTCCATCTACACAATATTATTTCCATTAGTTATGCATTTCGGAGGGGGCGTAATGGAACGCAGGTAGATTGTACGTTTTTGCACTGATGCAATCCAGCACAGTCCAATGCCTCCTGGCCTCCTGGCCCGGATTAAGCACCCAATGAAAAGTTGTTGAATGAATAGGCCTTTGCTACATGATATACAGATAGAGTGTATCTAATTGTCTTAAGTTGATGAGCTTGGGTAGCTTAATGTAGTCAGTAATTAAAATCTAAATATTGCTTGATGTGCTTTTCATAAACTTGCACAATGAAACGATATACTCCTTGGGATTATAAACAAGCATTTGTATAGTCACATAGGTACATCTTACAAAAAAGAAAGCAATGGAATAATGAATGTAGTAGAATGTTGATGACATTGGGAAGCAGGGGAAAGGGATGGGAAGATTTTTTATTTTACATAAAGATTAAATGTGAAGTTTTCAGATGTGATGTTGGGTGTTGATTTGCAGGATATTGTATTACAATTTCTACTCAACTAAATAAAGCAATTATACTGGGGGTGGCAAGAAGGGTGTAAAACAATTTAATTCATTGAATATCAAGTCCTAAAGCAACATGGCAAGCAAATATCACAATAAAATGGATGGTTCCAGGGAAGAGATGGTTCTCCTTACATTCCATTTGTTGTGACCTGTGGACTGGGCCTTTCATTCCTGTGGACTCCAGTTTCCTTAAGTTTAAACCTAACACGATAAACTCAACGTTTTGTCCTAAACGTGAAGACGTGTTTATAAGCATCATAAACCGAAATGCATCATCCAGTTTTTTGTTGTTGTTTTCTTTCTTTGTTTTTTTTTTTTTTTTCTGTCCTCTCCAGGACAGAAGCATTGATGAGGAGTCAACCAGTAGAGACGCTAGTTCCACATCACTTTCCTCCCGGATTCTATCCTGCTGGAAATGAGGCAGATACCTGTGCAATCTGCTTCCCAAGGTTGTTGAGACTGAATGCTTGCGAGGGAAGCTGTGAGTTGCAAAGCTTACAGACTTTTTTTCTCAGTCCAGAAATGAGGAGTGCTCCAGCACTGAACATTTTCAAAGCAGCTTGTTTGTTATAAAATACTAGCATGTTGGTGTAAAGACCTTGGAGAAATTCTCATGTTTTGACTTGAAGCTGGTTAAAATCTGTGAAGTAACAGTGAAGCCAAAACCTTCTAAAATATTATGTACTTATTATTATCTAATGACAGATTAAAGGAGACAACACCCATGAAAGTATTTGGACTAGCAGGGCAACTACTTTGAGTTAAAACTAGAATTCATTGTATCTTATTTTAAACCTAGTTAACTCATTTAGTTACCTTCTAATTCTTAAAATCTTGCCTCTTTGAAGACATACTTCCCCTCATTCATTCAATTAAAAAGTGAACTGAGGACTCGACACAGTAGCCTGGTGACTAAGGTTCTCGCCTTGCATGCCTGGGATCCCATATTGGCTCCAGTTTGTGTCTTTACTGCTCCAATTTCTATCCAGTTCCCTGTTTGTGGTCTGGGAGAGCAAGTGCAGGATGGCCCCAAACTTTGCAACTCTGCACCTGTGTGGGAGACCTAGAAGAAACTACCACTTCAGCTCAGCTTAGCTCTGGCTGGAAGATCTTTCTCTCTGTTTCTGCTCTCTCTGCATACCTGACTTTCCAATAAAAATAAATAAATCTTAAAACATTTAAGTTAAACTGGGGCATATTAAAAGTTTTACAAAGCTGAACAAATAGCTATTCATGAGTCAGGTAGCAGCAGAGTAAACGCAGTCGGGAGCTGTGCCTGAAGTAGTTGAAGGGAAAGCTTTTATAGGGTGATTATAGAAGAAGGAAGGAATTATCTGATCCCTTGTACCAATGTCTTATTTGAACCATTCCGATGGAAGGTCTATGTGCAGTTAGACTTTTGCTTTTTAATTGGTTACGTTTGCATTTTCTTTCTCAGAATATGACTGTTAGGTGGAGTTAGGTGTTGATTTGCTTGTATAGGTTCCTAGGATTCTGAAACTGTCTGAGTTTAATTGCTTTAATCATTCATTCATTCACTCACATTTTTTGGGAATTTAGTATATGGAAGTGCTTTGCTAAGTGACAAAATACCCCGATGAACGAGGCCGATGTAACCTCTGTCTCCATGGAATCCACTGTTTGGCATCTGACAGGAGCACATTTTACATCCGCAAAAGATAAATCTATTTGGATTGCATCTCACCAGTTATTGTTAATTACACACCCTTCGGTTCTGAACTTTAATCCTGTCTGTGGTACTGATGCATACTCCAAAAACAGTAAGTATCAGCTTTGTGAACAAAGTCACTTGGCTGATTATCTGTTCTAGGGTTAGTAACTTGACATCATTGACTCAGAGAACTATCCAATAATTTATACATCTCACTCTAATCTAGACTTAGCTCAAGGAATTTGGTGTTTGAGTGCAAAAATAAATTCACATTAGAATAGAAATAAAAAAGGATACACTAAAGTAAAATGGATAGATGTGAGCTGTATTCTGGTGAATCCTAAGCTTTTTGTGATACATGAAAGAAAAAGCTGGATTGTAATATGATTATACGGATAGCAACCCTTTTTGCAAATTAGATTTCTCTAACAACTCTTGAAAACAACATATAACTTTTTTTAATACCCCTATTACTGCAGTAATGGTAGAAAAACATCTTTTGTATAATCTTTGTCCGCTCCCTTTCCCACAGGGAAGCATTCCTGTAAAGTGGTAGGAGGCAGGAAAACGAACGAAAGATGTAAAAGTTGGGTAATGCTGTGGTTAATTTGGAGCAAAGGCAAGTGGCAGCAGCTATATGTCTGCTTCTTTGATGCCAGAAATATTTGAATAAAAAGAGAAATGTCAGCCAATCATCTATTTTATTTGCCCTTTCACTGGATTTTTTGTTAATAATTTGAACCACATAAAAACAACTTTGAAGATGAATATGCACTACGGAAGTAAAAGTTACTAATGACTGTAAAAAAAACTCCATACCTGTGCAGGTTTGATTATATACATGTTTATATCTCACTGGCAGTAAGGTGGTCATCACAGAACTGACCAGTGACTGAATTGTGATTGCAAAGCTAACCACAGAATAACTCATATTAACACATGTATTATTTAGAAAATAAATATAGTCTATTTTATTTCTTATATATTGTTGTTTGGCTGTCTAGAGTGGATATGGCAATGGTACAGGTATGTAGCAGCAAAGACATGCTTGGTAAGCCTGCGTGCCTTACGGAGTGTCTCAGCTCAAGTCTCTACTCCATTGCTGATTCTAGCTTCCTGTTAACACATACCATTGAAGACTGCAGATGACAGCTTAACTAGCTGGGTTTCTGCCACTGGAGTGGCAGACCTGGATTGAATTAGCAGCTCCTGGCTTCATCCTGGCCCAACCCCGGCTGTTAATGGACATTTTAGAGTGAACTAGAATATGGGAGCTCTCTATCTCTTTCTTCTACTTCCTTTCAAATATGTAAACTAAATAAATAAATGAAAAACATTTAGAATGGACACATTTTAATTCCAGATTGCAAATCATTAAAATAAGTTCTCGCTATAGTTAAAGACCCTTGTAACTTACATTTGTGTCTCCTGAGAGCTTGTTACACATCCACTCTCTTGGGCCTCCTCTACTTCCTTGCTGATCTATCTACTGAATCAGAATCTCCTTTTTGACAGATCCTCAGATCTGAGTGGTGTAATCATCTAGATTTATTCATTCATGGAAAGTTATAGCAAACTACTTTATGCTTTTGCAATGTTAGCACCTAGACAACCACATTGTCAGGAGAATAGCACAACACACCCGGTCCACTGTTCTTGAGTTGCCTGTGAACCTGACATAAAATAACAGAACACCAAGATTTCTTGCAGTAATGTGCTAATGCCACTGCAATTTTAATCACTATGATAAAATTAAGGAGTGGGGAGGTAGCAGTAGAATCAATTTTGTGTTGACAAAATTAAATTTTGCTTTTGCTTATTAGCAAGTGAGTCCTCCCGCTTACTAAATGAATATTGAAAAATCAAGATTTATTAAATCCCTGAAAAAGCTGAGCAATAATGATAAGGTTAGTGTTCTTGTGGACTTAAGAAAATCAGAAATAATAGTCTTTTGGTGATTCAACTGTTTTTTTTTTTTTAATAATCTGTGCAATTCAAACTCTGCTGCTGAAAGAGGGTGTGGGAGAGAATAAAAGTCAAAATAACTGTAGACCCAAATTAAAGTGACTAATTGGCTTGTATTGTTCAGTCAGAGGGAGGAACATTTTGTTAAAGTTT